TGTCCACTCCAGTATTCTTGACAGAGAATCCCATGGACACAGGAGCCTGGTGGGCTTGCAAAGAGTCAGACACAACCGAGCAACTAACATTTAAAGAAACCCAGGAGATGGTTAACAACAAAACCAAGAAAATCACTTACCGGCCCAGCTGTTTGTCCGAGGCTCTTCCTGTTAAACAGTTTGATGGAGAAGCTGTAGGCTACATCAGAATACTTAATACTTCTTGAGATAAATACAGCCACTTTGGAAAACAGTTTAGAATTAAAGAATAAAGTTAAACATGAATAAATAATATGCCCCAAAAGTTCAACTTCTGGGTCTTTACCTTGAACTAGAGAAGCTCTTGCACATCAAGAGATGGGTACAAGAATGTTCATAGTAACCTCATTTATAATAGCAGAAAACTGGGAACAACTTGAAAGTCATTTATTGGAGTAAAATGCATTTTGAAACAGAATGAGTTAAGGTTGCATGCAGTAGTTAGGAACTTGTTGAGAAAGACGACTTTACAGAATACCCACCCACCAGTCTGAGTCCATAAATTTCAAATTCAGAAACATAAAACCGTATCGTTTAGGGGTTCTAAAATATAAAAGAAGAAAGAAAAGCAAGTGATTGTATAATTGGGTTAGTGATTCTCTCCCAGGGAGGAAGAAAGGGGATTGAGGTCCCACATGTAAAGCTCAGTTGATTACTTGTGGGGAGTTCAGGTTGCAGATAGACTGCCCAGTTGCTCACAGTTAGCAGTTACATTTGTCTGTATAGACCCCTGTTACTCTTGTATTGGAAAATACACAAATACGTAGTGTTTGTTTATATGGCATGCCAATGAAGCATCCTTTGGCCAAGCTTCTCCATTTGTTTGTTAAATGGTTTCTTGAGCACTTACCCAGCCTTCTAAGCAGGCTTTCAGAAAGGGTTTTATTAAGTTTCTGCTAATTGCCAGCATCTTTCTGGTTACTAGAAGGCCCCCTCCCAGTCACCAGGTACATTTAAAATCAGCCTTCTCTTTTCAGTGTTAATGGAGATCTCCATTTTTGTAGAATTTTACCTTCAATTTGAAACATTTGTAAGAAGGGGTTGTTTCCATCATGCTTCTGTCTTCTCTGTGCTGTGATTAACCTGCTTGTTCTCCTTCTAACTGAAGAGAAATCTTGTCTTGAGGTTTCAATATACTACTTTATCTTAATCTGCTATTTTGGACTTGCAATCTTGAACTTCCCTGATATCTTGAAACATCCTAGATTCTATTTCTAGCACCTCTCTGTCAACTTGCCGTATGACTTCAGGCAAACCCCCTAACCTCTGACCCCCTTATTTCATGTTAACTAGATAAATCTTTTTTTTGTGAAAAGCAGTGATTTAAAGCTTCTTACAGTACATAGAAACGTCTTAAAGGAAAATAAGACACATTGCAGGGTACCACCTAACAGAGAGTCTGTAGACACAATACCAGGGGCCTGACTCCTATACATTCCTGTCAGTCTTCTGCCAGTACCACTCCAGCCCCAACCCTGCAGTGCATGTACTAAATTATTGTGACTTGGAATAAACTGTTACAACCTGTAACAATTATCCTCATTTTGTGCTTTGAAAGCTTTGTTTTTTGCTGAGTTTCTTCCTTATAATTGCTTTTTCCCCTATTCACCTTCATGTAACTGGAGATCTTAGTAGAATAAGTTTAAGGATATAAAAGAGGTTTTTTTTACATTGAATGTTATAATTAGCCACTTTCTCCTAAGAGACACTTTGAAATATTCCTTTGTTACTATGTTTGACAACATACATAATTCTCTCTTACCTTATCTACATATCTCTAAGCTGTTTGTAACTAAAACCAAAGCATATTTTGGCAAAGGCGGGCTGCTGAGTTTTACTGAACCTCAGCTGTAATTATAAATAATAACTTTATAAGATTAGGTAATCTTTTAAAAAAAATCTTACAACTTTGAAAAAGCATAATTCCGGTATAAAGGGCGAGCTGATAGCTGTAACCACTAATTTCTTGAGAATTTCTAGCTGCTTTCAGATCTGGATTGGCATCACAGGCTTATTGTTGACATATATTATTTCCTCAGAAACCCTTAAGTGGATTTAGGTCTTATGAAACCAAGAAATCTTTATCTTAAGAAATTGAGGGGTTAATCCTTGTAAGGTTATCCCTGTCTTCCTTTGCTGCCCCAAATGCTTAACTGTAGTTTACAGAGTAAGGGCCATTTTATCATGAGGGATATGCTTGGGGACCTGTCTGGATTGCTCATCTGAATATTCAGCATGGTTCTTAGCACTCTTTTTTCTTCTTTGCCTGTTTGTTCTTCATCAAACATGTAAGGATGAACTCTTCCCCATGTTAGACTGTCAGGGTCTGAGCCGCTGTAGTCTTCAGTAATTTGAAGAGGCCCAGATGATTGTGTAAGGCTGTGCTTTGGCACTGCTTTGCATGTTAAAGCTCTGTCTGTCACTCATTTTGATTCTAACCATTTTGATTCTCACACAGCAGGTGACTGCCACAAGGGTAGCAAAATGATAGCCTAGGTTTGTCAGTGAGTAATAATGAGTCAACATGAGTCCTTCCTGCAGCATCATCTTCAGGACTGCTTCTCATCTGTCATTTTTTGGTTCTCAGTTGAATTAATCCCATCAGCTTTCAGAAGATCTTTTGTGTGGTGGTTCTGTTAATGATGTAAATGATTGGATTTTTTGTGCATTGGGTTAGGAAGGAAGAGTAATTGGTGACTTTAGCACTAATGTAAGCTATAGAACAGGTTCTCAGACAGCATGACCAGTTAGTTACAATACTTCTGTTTTTCTTTTCTTTGACATTTGTAGGGATTAGATAATTTAGCATGATTGTGTCAGATTTATACCCGTGCATATACTGTAGATAACAAGGAAGCAGAATTTCTGAACATTACAGTGACACAAATGCTTATATTAAGTGTTTTAAGTTGTTACACTTAATTTTCATTAAGGAAACAGTAACAATTTAAATTACTTATAATCCATTAAGAAACTGTTAATTTTTTTACTGATTATGCTTTCTGACCTTTTTTCTTTGAATTGAATCTACTGTGTGCTCATAGTAGCCCCAATGAGGTAGATTTGTAGGTACTTTTATTCCCCATTTTGTTAGGAAGAAACTGAGGGCTAGAGAGAATAAGTGGTTTGCCCATGGCCACATCACATGGCTAGAAAATGATAGAGCACTGGGATTTAACACAGCTGGTTCCACAGCCTGTTTATTTTCTTCTTTTTGCCCTTTGTCATTTTAGCAGGTTAGCTTTTGCCTACATATTGTGCTTTTTAAAAAAAGATTACAGTAAATATCAGTTTCTGATGTACAGTTCGTTACATTTGGTATCACTTTTTAAAGGTATCTTTAATACGAGCTTATAATCTACTTGTTTCACTTATCTTTCATTTTCAAATATATTTCTCTCACACAATGTTAGTTGCTGTCAAATAGCCAGCTAACACTTATTATTTGTTGTAAGTCTTTGACATGATTTAACTCATTTTATCTTACAACTCTCTGAGGTAGTTACTGTTATCCCTGTTTTTATAGATGAGGAAACTAAGGCACAGACAGGTTACATAATTTGTCCCAAGTCACACAGCTAGTAAGTGGCAGGGCTAGCGTTAAGATGTAGGCAGGCTGTCTCTAGAGTCTGTATTCCTAAGTATTATGTGATAGTGCATAGCCTTCCATTGTATGGATGAGCTGTAGTTTATATAACCAACCCCTTAATTTTAGATGTTGAGGTTGTTTCCAGTTCTTTGTGATCTTATACAGTGTTTTGTACTTAAGTCTCGTTTGCATCTCTATTTTCTTATCATAAATCTTCACAAATGGAATTGCTAGGTCAAAGGATATGTACATTTTTCAGGGCAGTATTGCCCTTTAGAAAGATTTATTTAAGTTTTACTCTCATCACCACGGAATGAGAGTGACCATGTTCCCTATACTAGTGAAGTGATCATTAAAAAAAATATATATTTACAGACCATTTACATGGTTGTTGAACTTCTTATTTTTTCAGTTTTGCCATTTTCTGTAGGTATAGGTTGAAATTTTAGCATTTGAAAGCAACCTCACTAACTGTATTACCAACTTCAGGCTGAGAAAGGTCCTATGAGCTTTGTGCTACAAAGGTACACAGAAGCTTTTGCTTGGAATGTTCCCTCTAAGTGTTAGTAGTTTCTGTAAAGTGAACAGGTTGATTCCCCACCCATGAAACTTGGTCTTGTTACTCCATAGTGAGTCTGCAATAAAAGTTTTTCATAACCTAAACAGATGGAAATCCCGTTAAAAATTGAAGTTATGTGCCCTGTCTTAAATGTTAGTGAATTTCACAGGGAAGGCTTTCTGCCAGTGACTAATGAAAAATGTCATGGAAACGTGACATTCTCATTTTGGCATTTAAGTATTAAAACTTAATATCTCGACAACATCCTTTTGAAAATTTGGCATAGATTATATGGCACTACTGAAATGAAATAATGTAGTTAAATACCAGCCATTTTTATTATTTCTTATCTCCACAAGTGGAAGAAACCAGATCATCCGCGGCCCACTTTGTATGTCTAGTATAAATCCCCTTTTCTCTCCCCATCGTGTTGATCATGATCAGGTTACTACTGACATGGGTATGGAGCTGTAACTAAGAAAGGACCTGTTTAGGCAAAGGAGGTTCACATTATGGTATGTTGCTCCTCAGGATGATACGATAAAAATGTGTATGCAGAGACAGTCTGGGAAGAGAAAATAAATGGACATTGTTTTTGTTTCTAGGTAGCAGTACTGCCTGCATTGTGGTGCTGGACAGAACTAGCCACCGCTTACACACAGCAAACCTGGGTGACTCAGGCTTTCTGGTTGTCAGGGGTGGGGAAGTTGTGCACCGATCAGATGAGCAGCAGCATTACTTCAACACTCCATTCCAGCTATCAATCGCGCCCCCCGAAGCCGAGGGAGTTGTCTTGAGTGACAGGTAATCTCTCCTCTCTCACCAACAGGTTCCCTCCCATTCCCCTTAACTAAGCTGTTGAAGATGGGCATTTTTCATTCTCACATGAGAAGAGAAGACACATTGGAGACCTTTTAGTCTGACATTGAAAGATATTCTGCTTGAACTTGATTTCCAGCCAAGTTGAACTCTGATAAACACCTAGTATTTTGACCTGACTGTGAAAATATATTTCAAGCTTATAGAATATCAGTTTCATACCAAGACCACATGGCACATACAGTTGTATTTGTTAAGTAGTGCTGGAGAAGTGAGTCATTGTTCATGTGTGCCGTCCCATATACAAGATTTTGCATATGTTATTAGGGAAGAATGCAAATAGACATCTGCTTTATTTATCAGAATAACTTCCTGATTCTCAGAGCTGCCTATAATGTGCATCAAATGGAACTTGCAGTGCTTACAGAACTTGTCAGGCAAAGTTAACTTGCAGGAAATGGACTTAAAGGTGGTCTTAGGAATGTTCTGTGATGGTGCTCTTGAGATGTGTGCTTTTTTTTCTTCCAACACCTTCTCAGTTCATTTTAAACTGTCAAGACCTTTCTAGGACAATCAGTACTTTTTTGAATCAACTTTTTAGTTTATCTTTTCTCAGCTCAGAGTACAGAGTAATACTAACACAGTCTCAGATTTCACTGCCTTTAACAACCTTATAGGGTTTGACACAAACATTGTTGGCAATTCATAAACGTGGTAAAATGGGTAATGAACCTGTTTTAAAAGTAGAAGCATCCTAGCAAGTACAGATTATCTCTACTTAATAGTTCTTATTAAGCCAAATCTTAGGTCCAAACTAAGGTAAAAGGATGATTACTGCCATCTTTTAACTAGAATGAGCATATTATATAAGTGCTCCATATTACCCATCTAAAGTCTATTGCTGACTCCTACAGAGAGGGAAGCATTTTTTTTTACTTTCAGAGTAAGGCAGATTACCATAATTGGAAGAAAATTTGATTATAGGCCCTTCTTCAGTTGGCTGTAATAGCACATCGATATTAGTCACATTGGAGTGAGGCAAACTTAGAACCCCAAGACCTTGGTAAATGTCAAGTTCAGCTAACAGTTTTTGGAGAAACAGTGTTTTTAATTTTCCTTTATTTGATCCTTGTTGTTTTGGCTTCCCAGTGCTAGAGCGGCCCTGAGGTACCTCAGACACTATCTTTGGGGCAGTTTGGTCAGGGCAGGACTTGGCCTGTCCTGCCAGTGAGGTGGAGGTTGCTTCCCCTGGAGCCCAGAGACAGTTTGCTAGCATGTGATTGCAGCTCGTGTTTCAGTGCAGTCAAAAGTTTCCAGCAGCACAGTATGTTCAATCAAAATGGGCAAAACTGCAGCTGGCGGAACACCAAGCTCATGGGTGGGAGTGTTGGGAGAAGAGGACGAACTGTCCAATGGCAGCGAGTCTCTCACAGGCAGCATAGCAAAAGACACTCCTGGGGAAAGAAAAACCTCAGCATAAAATAGAGCTTCAGTGCCAACCTGGTCATTAATCTAAACTTCTAGAGCCTGATTCATTTCCAAAGACTGAGCAAATGTGAAATGTCTTGTATTGTTTCTCTTTATTCCATGGAAGAAATCGACCTGGTTTCTACCAATTTACAATCTGTTTTAGTGTGTCTTTTTTTTTTCTCTTGGCTGCTTGTTATCTCCTTTGTTATCAGTCTCTCTTATCTATAAAATACTATTTTAACCTTAACTTACAAATTTCCTTTAATAGCTGTTTTGACAACAGCTATTGTTGTTGTCAAAACAGCTATGTTATTGTATAAATGTATAAGTGAAAGCTAGTTTGTTCCTTTTCAGAAGCCCCTTACAGAACTTTTAGGTGTGGTACTGCTTTCCTCAGTCAACATTAGACAAACTAGAAATTTTCTTAGTGTAAATCCCCAGCAGGCATGGGTAGGCTGTTGGTTTTTATGTTTTCCCTTTACAAATTTTATAACATGTCACTTAAACAGTTTAGGTGGTTTTTTTTTTTGGTTCTGGCCCCTCTGTTCTGGGTCAGTGTATGACTTTGTTCCTGGCTCTTGTTCCCTAATTACACGCGAAGGCAGATTATCAGATAGCTCACCTTTCCCTCACCTTGGAGGCCTGGAAGTGGTAGAGCTGGCCTTTCAAAATGGCTGAGAACCAGTCTCTAGGGGGGCCATGAACTCTTTGATTTCATATTATCTTCTCTTTTCCTCCCCACCGGGGCTTCTGTTTTCTTCAGGTAAGTCTCCCCTCTGTCTTTTTAAAAAAGTTTTACACAGATGTAATGAAAAATCTACCACCTGTCCTCAGAGGCAGCCAGTTATGTTTCTTTGAATCCTTCCAGATTTATTCTCTGCATGTAGAAGCACCTATATATATATATAGATCTTTCTTTCTCACACACACAGTACCTTGTTCTTTTCATTAACAATATTGAGTCTTTACCCAAATTGGAGAGCTAGTTACTGTGATTCTTCATTCATTAACTATTTCTTGAAGATGTATTATGTGCCAGGAGCCCTTATAAATAAGTAACCTGTGCATGATGAGAACTTTGTAAGCCCTGAGAGACACAGTCTTTACTCTGCCAGAGTAAGGGTGATTTATTAATACTGATTTGGTGTTACTAGTAATATACCAGTAATTACTAGTATTATAGTAAGAAATACCATTGTAGATATTTCACATGAATTAATTCTTATGGGACTTGCATGTGCTCCTCCATAGTGCTCAGTTATTCCACTAGAACACAGCCTCCAAATTCAAGCCTGCAGGGAAACTGATGAGTGGAAAGTGAATAAGAGAGGATGGAATTTGGCACTAATGAATTAGGAAACAAAGACTCATTTCCACTAGGATTCTAGAGGCATTTTAGTGTCTGACTCAGAAAAGAACCCTTCTGCCTTTTAAAGCACATGTGACTAATCATCAAACTCAGTTTTACTGATAGTTTTTGTTCAGCTTTTGAAAGATTTATATCAGAGTTTTCAGTTAATTTTTTTCAAGGTTAGGAATTTCAGAATAGTGGTTTTTATTATAGACTGCTGCTATAAATTAGTTTTCCTTAAAGCCTCATTATATTGTAGCATCGTCCCCATTGGAAACTTGTAACAGTATCTCTAAAGGGCTCTGCTAACTTTGCCCCTACCTGTCCTTGTCACAGCCCAGACGCCGCTGATAGCACATCTTTTGATGTCCAGTTAGGGGACATTATCCTGACAGCGACAGACGGACTCTTTGACAACATGCCTGACTATATGATACTTCAGGAGCTAAAGAAGTTAAAGGTAATTAACTCCAAGGTGGGCCTTTAGAAAACAGCGACCCTCCCTGGGCAGCCAAGCTTTTTATTAATACAATTGCATAAGCTCTTTTTGTAGTTTTGGAAAGGACTATTTTGTGAATTTAGGAAAATGAAAATGGTTCTGATCTTGTTCTAAACAATTGCAGACAGAAATATTCACAATTGGAAAACTTGAGGAAAAAAGAGGCTTCTCATCCAAGCCTCTCTTTAGTAGGGTGGTAAAGGTAGGAAAAACCCCGATGGGAGATTTCTTGTTTGTGTTTTTAATTGTGTTTTAATGGTATTTAATGGTGTTGGTTGGTGGTTATCTTTTTCATTTTTTAGTCTCATAACAAACCCAGCAGGTGTTGAGGCTGGGAAAGATAGGAAATCATCATACCAGAGCCAGCCAAGGCAGCAGCCGAGGGTAGCAGGCAGCTAGGGGCCTTGATGTGATCTGAGCTGTCACCAGTAACGAAACAGTTCAGACTTGGCCCATACAGTGAGTGGAAGGAAGTGAAAGCCAGTCTGCATATTCTCCTGGCTTTGTAAAGTACTGACTTGGGGGGGGGACACTGATCTTTTCTCATGTGACCAGTATGACCTTAAGTTTGCTAAACTTTCTTAGCAGTGTTTTTCTCACCTGTAAAATAGGGGTGGGATGGTTCAAAGACCCTGTTTTTAGGGCTGTGGTGAGAATGAACCAAGACCATGCACTAGAAATCTTTAACAGCATGCTTTGTCTGTGGAGCTTAGGAAAGGTCGGGTGCCAACGCCTGCGGGCACTGTGCCACGTATGTAACAGAGTGAGAGGCAGACATGACACATTCCCTGACCTGGGGCTTACATTCTAGTGGAGGAAGACAGAGAATACAGAGAAAGAAAGAATAGAAATAGTGTTGTTGCTAAATAAAAAGAAGAAAAATAAAGCATGGAGAAGAAATAGAGAATAAAGAGGGCTTTTCAGTGGGGCAACTGGCAGCATTTACTTGGAGAGCAAGCACTCTGCGCTTGGCCAGGGGTGCGTTCCCAAGCAGGGAGACTTGAGGTCATCCTAAAATGCTATCAAAATCTGCCCCTTCAGTCTCATCCCATTTTAGCAAGAATGCCTTAAGAATTTCAAATGGCAGAGGGGGAGAGATAACGAAAATTCAGACTTCAGGACGCAAGGCCATCCTCACAAAGAACTTTCTCATTGACGTCCTATGCAGGCAGCACTGGTGATCTCGTTCCTTTTAGTCGAGGTATTATGTTCCAGTGTCTTCTCTTAACTGGAATAAAAACATAAATGGTGGAAACTATGATTAGATAAATATTACTGTCTTACAAAATGATGTTTAAAAAAAAAGTGTTTAGAAATCATGTGAGGCATTTTGGTAAAAATATCTCCCTCATTATTTTCGTATTAGAATTCAAATTATGAGAGTATACAACAGACAGCAAGAAGCATTGCTGAGCAAGCTCATGAGCTGGCCTATGACCCAAATTATATGTCACCTTTTGCACAGTTTGCATGTGACAACGGATTGAATGTGAGAGGTAAGCATTCTTTGGGAAGTTCATAAGGACTAATAGGGGAATAGGGGATGGGAGCATTGTGGGCTGTGTGTGAGGCCAGCTGCTGCACTGGGGTGAGACTGCTGAGGGGTCCTCTCCCAGCTGTGAGCCTGTGGCTTTGAACAAGGTCAGCAGGCACGGACACTAGAGAACAGCAAGTGCATGTTCCCTACAGAGGTGCCCTTCAGAATTGCACTTCATTGGCTGCAGAGGCAGGTGGAACCTGAAGCCCTTTATCGCCGCCAATGCTCTGCTTGGACCCAAGCCCAGAAAACCTCCGAGCTCTGCCTGGAGGGCCTGGACATTCCTAATGGTTTAAACATTCTGCCCTTCCCAGGTCTGACATTTCACTTCTCCCTTCCTCTGGCTTTGTGGGACTCATTCACAGTATTTGCCTATTAAATTGCTACAGCAAGTTTTTTAAATTAATTTTTATTAATTCTAATTAATTGCTTTAATTGTGTTAGTTTCTGTCATACAGCAAAGTGAATCAGCCATATGTCCCCTTTTTTGGATTTCCTTCCTATTTAGGTCACCACAGCGCTGAGTAGAGTTCCCCAGTGCTGCGCAGTAGGTTCTCATTAGTTATCTGTTTTATGCATAGCAGTGTGTATACGTCAATCCCAGTCTCCCAGTTCATCCCACCTGCCTCTGTAGGATGTTTTGAAAAGGGAAGACTCTCCTTGCCTAGAGTCTTCCTATCTACTGAGCAATGTGTAATTTTGGGAGCAGGCCAGTAGCTCAGCTTTGAGCTTGGATAACATGTTGGTGCTGGCATATCAGCACTTATAGAGTTGGTCAGTTTCTTGCAGGTATATTATTATGACACGTAAAACATTTCTTCGCTGTCCGGGAAATACTAAATAGAAAAAAAGCACATGCCATAGCAGTTTGCCAGATTAGACTACAAGACTATCAGCTAGTTTCAAAACATTGGGTATGTTTGTCCAAATTAGGATTATGGGGGTGGAACATAGAATTTTCTTGTCAGGCAGAATAAATCTTAGCAACATTTTGTCTTTATTGTGATTGCTATACACAGAGGATGTGGTGGTGGCCATTTTAACAAAGCTCCTATTATAAAGGAGCAGAGAGGATTTTTTTTTTTTAAGCTTCAATTAAATTAGATGTAATTTCTTGGTGTTTTTAAACTATTTATTGATTTTTTCCCCCTTTTTTTCTACTGGAGTATATTGACAAACCTGTTTGTCTCCTAGTACTTACTTATTTAGGCTTACATTTTTTTCTTTTTTCCTTTTAAAATGTATGAATACATTTTCATTTTCATTGTAGGTGGAAAGCCAGATGACATCACCGTCCTTCTCTCCATAGTGGCTGAGTATACAGACTGACTCGCCTAGGTGTCGACTCCTGCCTCCCCTTTCATCATCCCAAATTCTCCCTTGCCGTGTGTGCTGATCCTGCTGGCAGGACCACGTTTCTTTGCCACTGATCTCAATGGCCAGTGATGTAAACCTTTTGCCTGTCTTTTTGAGATCCTTGTTGAGAACCACTACTGTCATTCTACTGCTCATATCTGCCAGCAACATTTGAAGAAAATCACATCTGAAGATTGGCCTTCACATTGTCCTTTCCATGATGGGATGGATGTTTTCAAAGCCAAAATGACTTTACTTTTTGAAAACGGTTGAAGTATTGAAAATGAGTAATATTGGTAAAGTGAATTCAAAATTACAGTGTGTAAAAGGGATTTTAAAAGCCTGACACAAATTGTATGTTATGATACATCTACTAGAAACATACTCATCAAATGATGCATTACACGTGTACTATACAGTCTGTTATGATCGAGTGTGGCTTTATGTTTTCATTATAAACTCCTGTTTTTCAGGGGGTTATAATTTTGCTCTAAAACATTGCTCTGGATTATAAAATCTTGATCCTGGGAGCTTTTTTTTTTTTTTTGCAGGTTGAAAGAAAAATTCAGTTTAGTTCTATGGATGCAAATGTTTCATGGTTTTTTAAAAGATGCTTAATTGTGCTCCTGTGATGGAAGTTTCAGCATTTTATTGCATATCACAGGCTGGTGGCTTATTTGCAGGAGGGGTTGGGGAGACTCCTTACCAGAATTTTTTAATGGAATATTATTCAAGGTTATAAAATTCCTCAAGGCCTATGTATGTAATGTTGCAGCTGAAATTCCTCCCAGCTGTCTGGTATGATGCCCCCATGTGAGAGCTCTAGGCCCACAGGCCTGAAGGGTTGAGAATGGACAGCTCTAGCTTTGAATTTTGTTGGCCTATCAGGTCATGCTACCCCTCATGTCTTAGACCTGTCGTTAGTAGCCCTGCTTTGTGTAGAGCGTGTACCAGATTCAGGGAGTCCACGTGAAGGAGCACCATGGGCAGTGGCACAGGAGTCCCCGAGGAAGAGGTCTAGTGATGATCTGACATTTGCATCTGCCCTCCACAGAAATTTAGGGGTTTCCAAATCAAGCTTAATGTTTACAGTTTCCAAATAGCCATCTTGCAGTGTATAGTTTCCCTATAAAATTATCCCGTATTCAGTTTTTCCATTATCTGCAAGCTCAAAGTTATTTTTAAGGTTTGTGTACAAGTCAACTGCTGTAAAGATATATATTTTGGGGTCAGTTTTTTTCCTTCATTAACTTGGTGGTAGAAAAATATATATACTTAGAAATCCTTAAATTAAAGCCATGTTTTATATATAAGTCAGGTAACATTGGTGTATAGATAAGAATGCAATTAAACCTGATGAGAATCTACTTGAGGAGAACATAGAAAGTCTCTTTCTCTAAAGGAGATACTTACTCCCTGGTTTATTGCATTAAAACTTATGTTTGAGGTTACCTCAACTTGTTTTAAAAAGATTTTGTTTTGTGAATTTGTACTGTATATTTGAGTAACTGTCAAGCTTGTTTTATTTAAAATTGTTTAACATGTACCATGTACATGTCATTACTATATTCAATGCATCATGCTTGTAACAGGCATTTCATTTATAATAAGAATGAGTTATTCATTTGTAAGCCGTTCAGTAATTTATCTACTATTCCTAAATTGGCATAATGTTTAGATACCTATTTTGAATCACCTTTAATTACTTGTCAGAATGCCTTAACTACCCTAACTTGACAAAACAGAATTCTTTGGTAAAGGAGATCGGGGGGTGGGGTAGGGAGTGGAGAGAGACTGTTCAAATAATGAGAACCCATCATGCTGTGATAATACACAGACAGGTGAGTGGCAAGTGGCAGGGTATTTATTTTGCACAAACTATTTGCAGTCTTTCTGTATTTAAAAAGTAAAGAAAGTTGCATCCAGAAAGGTTTTGTTGGAAGGAATACATTTACACTTGGACTGACAACTTCAGTTCTTTTGTTGGGTTTTTATTTCTGGTCAGAAGCATGGAGCCTTATGATCCAGGTATATGTTGTATTAATTTTCCATTGCATACATTTAATTCCTGGTAAGAGCATTGCTGGTCAAGTCACTGGCTTTTCTCTGCACTCATCTAAACTCATCAAACACCGTCTTCATAAAGGTAGATTGATGGCATTTTACACAACTCATTTAATCAACTTAGTATTTTTTGAGAAATGATTGTTAGAAATTGACGATGTGTTTCAGTGATGTTGAAAACAGTGGGGCAAGAATTGAGTTTCACAGGGGAACTGACTTTGGACCTGGCCTGTAGATTAGGGACGCAAAATCTTTTGTTTTTCCCCCCTGCCGTTTTTGTGTTATGCACTTAATTTTATGACTTTGGGGGTCTGTTGGAGTGCTGTTTAACAACTCCCCTACTCTCAATGGTCAGAGGCTGTGTAGGTACCCATACTGGAATTTTCCAGGCCACAGGACCAAAGTCTTTGTGGGGTGTGCCTGACATATACCACTTGGTGGGTCTGATTCTAAACTTGATGTGTTAATTGTACTTTAAATCAAACAGTATAAACACACACATTTGCCTCATGTAGTGGACTTTTATAACAAAAGAGAATTTGGATTTCTAATTTACAAATGGCAAATTATTTATCCCTCTCTGGATGCACCAAAGACCAGTAAAGTTTATAGCTTTTCCATCTATATTTATAAAGCAATACTGTATTATAAAAATCAATATTTTTATCACATGCTTGAAATTTTTATTTTGTTCTGTTTTAAAGTGTGCACTCTAAACATATCAGAACCTTGTTTCTTCCTGTGAACTTAGGCTGCCTGCGCACAAAAAAAAAAAAAAATTACCGAATGGATATGCAGTAGAGTCCATAGGCTCTTAAAACTGAAAGAAGAAATGAGGTTGAGAGAACAAGTTCTTTGTCCTGAATTACTGTACTGGCTTGACATGGTTGATGGGTACTAAATCACAAAAGAATCCATTCCAGTTGTGCATGTCTGGGGGTTGGGCTGTGACTAGATTTAGAAAATAGACTTCCAGCTTTGCATGGTGGGCAGGTATCTTATATGCCATCAGTTGCATTTGTTCTGGGTAGAACAGTAGCCTTCAGTACCACCTTCAGTACCACCAGTGTACCACATCAAGTAACAAGGCAGGAATTGTGGGAATTCACTGAGGCAGTTTTGAGCATTTTGGAGATCGTAGACGAGACTGGCTAGAGCTGTAAATGTTTGTACTTTTGATTAAGTCCATGGTTCCTTGTCACCTTATACCAGCTATCTTTGGTAGAAGCTACAGCATCCAGTGTTCCCGGAAACTATCACATTTGTGCATT